AAGCCGTACCTTTGATAAATGGGCCAATTCGAAACATATTTGTTCTTGTTATATGTTGAGGAGGCCTTTGTTATTTGAGTAAGTGGTACATACATGTAACATGATGGGGATATTGGCTCTTTATATGGAGGAGTGCTCTGCCATTATTCTTAAGGCTCATTCATTTCGTTAATTGAAATTTAGAATTTAAATTTTATTTTAGTAAAAAATTTTCATATATAGTTATATTTAACTTTTTTGTTACAGAAAAAAATTCTCACATAAAATTACATCTCAACTCAAATTAAAAACTTGAATCAACGAACTAAACGGGGCCTAAATGAATGAAGAAATTAAAATTTTTAGGCACGGTTTCTTTTATATACTTAAATTTTAAATTATTAATTTTATTATAATATTTTTCTCTCATACAAAATTTAAATTTTAAACGTCATAATTAAATATCATAATTTAAATATACTTTCTACATATGTCCTTAGACAAGTGACAATACAAGAAGTCAATCAATTGCTATGTTCTGATGAATATGGTAAGGAGTTTTTTACACTGGGATATAATGCATGATTTTAAATCGCATTAAAAAATATTCATAATTAAGAATCTAATACAACATTAAAAACGTCTTATAAGTATGGTATTTTTCCATACTTTTTTTAATGATAATATTTATACATTTGCTTTTTTTTCTTAAATGTTATTTGTTAAGTTTAAGACAATGACATAAATGTCAATGTCGACGAGATTGTCGATATTTTGTTTTACGGATAATATTAATGATATTTAGAGAAAAATGGATGCTTGAGAAAATCTTAAAATTGTATAACATGCTAAATAATCAATATTTCTCAATTTGAACTAATTTAATGAAAAAAAATAATATGTTTCTCATCAAAAAATATGAGAATTATATCAAATAGTATAATAAGAAATTATCATAATTATACATGAATTATGATTACAATATAATTTTACATACTCATTACACAAAGTACAATAGTACGGTATATTACATACAATTTTATTATCAAAACACGGACTTCAAGTGTTACCAAAACGAGTTTTTAACATGTTGAAAAGCATTAGATAAATTATGCTTTTGATTTAAACAATACATTTGTTAGGATATTACCCTTGAATAGTTTTGGAAGTAGTGTTAATATGTCATATGTATGTTTTTTAATCTCTTTTCACTGTTAGCTTATAAATTGGAGACTGTTAGTTTATCCAATTTGATGAGTAGCCTTCATGGAGGTGTAGTGAGTAGTCTTTACTTTTTTATTGCTTTTGATTTAAATCACATTGTCTCGTTTATTGAAAAATATAGGAAAATAATATGTGCTAAAATTTTAATTTTTGTGCTTGTTTTTAAACGTTATGTGGATATTTTTAAAAATATCTTAAATATTTACGGATATTGCAAATATTCTTGAATATTATGGATATTTTATGAACACATCAAGAAGAATATATTTCCTCTTTATTATCCATGTCGAAACATCAAAATATGTTTAATGTCGATAATGTTGTAGACATAATCATCTTGGTTTAAATTTCAGAGGATTTTAGATAAGGATTAATATGTGTTTCTTAATAAAATGATTTTAAGGGTAAACAAGCAAATGGACATGGTGGACCTCAATTCCATTTAAGGACCAAAACAACCTGAGCTAACAACATAACCTGTTGAGGCAAAGGAAGAAGAAGAATAATAATATATCTCGGCGAGCTTCGAAACAAAAGTTGCTAGCTGCGCACGGCAGTCTTGTATTATGATAAAAACGTTAATTTCATGCCCTAAACTTTCAGTCTAGTCTTGCCGAAAATAATAATATAACTATAAGTTTGCTACAAAATCTCATGGAGCACTTCTATCATCTGTTTTTAAACTACAGTATTGTTCATTTCACCGCTTCGATTTTAAAATTCAAATTTTGTTAAAATAAAAAGCTCTCAGAAACAGTTATATTTAATTTTTTTACTACAGTAAAAAGTTCTCATATAAAATTATGTCTTCACTCGAATTAAAAACTTGAATCAACGAGCTAAACAAACCCTACATATTTCGTAACAAAAAATAAAAATAGCAAGCAAGCAAAGTTGGTTTTTCTCCCGTGAAAGGAAAAAGAGAAGGAGCCAAAAATGTATCCAAAATGACGCCAGGCATTATGGGAGTCTTCTTAAGTTAGCTCTGTAGCAAGTTTACTTGAAACTTACATCATGATCGAAAATGGAACTACTTAAGCTCCGACTAGAGTCAGCTTTTGGAACCAAACTATGTTTCTTTTCTCATCTTGTGATACTTGATAATTTGCCTTGGAATTTGGCTTGTTTTTTTGAGTAAAAAACTCAAAAAAATGTAACTCGAGTTATAATTTTATTCGAGTTCATGTTCTTTTAAGTTTAAACTCGAGTTCAAACTCGAGTTTATGACTAAAACTCGAGTTCAAATTTCTCCTTCAACTCGAGTTTAGAAACTCGAACTCAAATTCATGAACAGTATTTTTTTTATTCTTCAAAATGCTATAACTTTTTCATTTTAATTTTGATTGAGATGGTTTTTTTTTCTATGCGTTGACAATAAAAAGACGAATAAAACCCGACCCATATACCATATTAAAATTTTTCATCAGCATTGAGTTTTTATTAAAATACTATCTAAATACAAATTCAAGTTTTGACTCATTCAAACACAAACTCAAAAAGATTATTATCTTAAACCATAACTCAAATGTACACAACCAAACACAAACTCAAGTTACAAGTTCAACTCAAGTTATAACTCAAATTTAACTAAAAAATTATACTCAAATTAAATTTTAAAAGAACAAGCCCTAATGACCTGATTTTCTGTTTTAACTTGTGTTGGCGTGAGATATAAACCCCTCTCTCTCTCTCTCATTTGCCTTGGAATTTCTAGTGAGCTGGTATTTCTGTTTTAACTTGTGTTGGCGTGAGATATAAAACTACCTCTCTCTCTCTCTCTCTCTTTTAGTTTTTCAGTTTTTTATTTTATTATTATTTTTTTTTTCTATTAAGGAAATCCAAAAACCACAGACAGCATGTCAACTTTACCAATTTTTCTGCAAGCAGAAAAAAAAAACCCTATGCAGTTGAGTTGATTGTTGCTTCTATAATGTGCTATGTGATATATGTATAATTTCTATTTTAACTTTTTAAAAATTTTAATATTGACGAATATAGTACGGAAAATTGCAACTGATTGTGTATTGATATAAGAAAGAATGATATTAATATTTTTTTTATTCACATTATTTTACGAATTGAAATATTTATATTAAGAATTGCTCCACGCATCAATAATTGAAATAAAAAAAATGCAGATGAGTAGTCTGCTGTGAACAATATTCTCAAACAACGGATTGCTACTTTTTGCAGACCTTTAACTATTTACATATGCAGAAAGAAAACGAGAACAAACAGTAGAAAACTTGGAGTCCGTTTAGTTGGAAGATTTATTCTCTGATTCGAATCATGATTTATAGTTTGTTACAGTGTTTTTTCTCACAAAAAATACACATAAATAAAAAATAATCCTAATCTCATTATTCTAATCTATGAACTAAACGGGCTCTTGAAAACTTTATAATTAATAATTAGCATTAGAAAAGTGCTCGAGCTATGATGTTAAATACCGCTATTAATAAAAAAATAAATTGTATTTGTATATTTCATAATGCAAAGAATCACTTTTTAATTTTTATAATGAATGGTGTTCAACATCATTGATACTTTATAACATTACTCTTAACTTCATTTTTTTTGTAAATTTTCATTCATCAACTTGATTATTAAACTCCAAAGTGGTGATTATTTTATTCTATAATCCAGTCATTGGAAAATAAATACTTAAAAATCTTCACCACAAAAGGGAACATTTATAAATTTTAGAAAAGAAGAACGGCATGAGTTTATGATTTGTGTATTCAACACAAAGGAATAACATACCCCTGTTTAATTTGTTAGTTTGAATTTTGTTAATTTAAATTTTTTATTTTGAGCATAAAAATTCTAATTATGTAGTTTAAATTGTAATTTAAATGTGTAGTTAAAGTTTTAATTTGAATGGAGAATAAAATTTATATTTATATTTAATAAATGTGAAAAATAGAAAAAATAAACGCATATTTACTATTCATAAATAATTTAAACAGTTAGACTTAACTTAATAATCAATCAGCTCATTATTTGTTGCAAAAAGACTATAATGTACTCTCCCAAAACTACCAAATTACAATTCGCCACGTATCATTCCCACCCACTCAATAAATAACAAATTAACCAAAACTAATAAATAAAGAAGGGTATTTGTCACATCTTGTACTTGAATTTTTATGATTTATAAATTAGGCAAAAAATTCTTTAAATTTGATAAATTGCTTCTTAAAATTATTATCTAAACTTTTAAATAAAACAATTAATTAGTCCTCTTTTAGTGCAGTTGAAAATTTTCTTATTAAATTAATAAAACAATGCGAAGTAAAAATAACTTGTTTGGTTCATGAATTAGAATTATTTTCGATTTACGTGTATTTTTTATGAGAGAAAATACTGTAGCGAATCACGAATCATGATTCGAATCAGGGAACGAATCCTTTTACCAAACGGGTGATGATTGAAGCATCTCATGCTACATGTATCGAGGTATATATATTTTACATTGAAATTAAATTAAATCAATAACATATTTTAAAATTATTTAAAGTAAATAGTAATTTATAATGTGAAAATAATTTATATAAATTAAAAATTTAAAGATAAATTTATCAATTATTTATTATAAATTAAAAATTTAAAGATAAATTTATTAATTACGTCAATATAAGTAGTGTAAAAATAATTTATTAGAATTAAAAATTTAAAGCAAATTTATCAATTACGTCAATATAAGTACAAAGAAAAAGAAAATCAATAAAGAAAACAAAAGAAAGGCATAAGAGAGAAAAGAGAGAGGCGGAGGGGAAGAGAGAGAGAGAGGGACCGTGGAATAGTCGAAATGAGCCAAAAAAAAAGGGAAACCGGAAAATAAGGGGAGAGAGAGGGGGAAGCCTGCGATGGGTCGCTGTCTCTGCCAACTTCAGCTATGAAGAAGCTCCTCACCTTCAATTTCTCTGCACCAAACTTACACTTCTTCTCTCCTTCGCATTAAATGCGGGCGTCTTTATATCCATTTCTTCTCCGCCATTTTTCCTCTTCTTCTTCCTTTTCTTCAAGGCTCTCTCTCTCTCTCTACTTTCAAGCTCTTCGCTTTTTTCGTTTCGTCTCTCTCTGCTTCTCTTTACATTCCGGTGAAACAATCAATCTTTCCATCTTTCTCTTTCACATATTTGCAAGTGTTGTTCTGATTCAGTTCGGTCTTGATCCGTCTCCGCCGAGCTATTCCTCGCAGATTCCGAAATTCACGTAGTTTCTCGAACTTAAAGCTCAATTTGAAATCGGAGATCGCAAGTAACTTCCGTACTTTAATGGAGGCGAGGATGAAGAAGTACCGGCAAGTGAGCCCGGAGAGGGCGAAAGTGTGGACGGAGAAGTCGCCCAAGTACCAGCAGAACCGCAAGGTTCCTGTGGTTTACTACCTTTGCCGGAATCGCCAGCTCGAGCACCCTCATTTCATGGAGGTCCCTTTCTCCTCTCCCGACGGTCTCTATCTCAGAGGTGAATCGCAGTTCTAGAGTCTAGAATCTTCTGTTTCATCAAAAGTTCGTTTTTTTTTTCCCCGAATAAACAAAAAAAAAAGTTTGATTTTTGAAGAATTTTATGTGTTCTTCACAGATGTGATTGAGAGACTTAATGTTCTAAGAGGCAGAGGCATGGCTTCCATGTTCGCATGGTCTTCTAAAAGGTGAAAGTTCTTGTCTTCCTTTCTCAGAATATTTTCTGTTCAGACTTCTACTTCTTTTTTCGCTACAGAATCAAGCATGGATTTTTATTTTGTTCTTCTATAATTTTTTTTTTTTTTTTTCAATTAATGCAGGAGCTACAAGAATGGGTTTGTTTGGCATGATCTCTGTGAAGATGATCTAATTCACCCCGCTCATGGTAATGAGTACGTTCTCAAAGGCTCTGAACTCGTTGAAGAGTCTAATTCAGGTATATAATTGTTTGGTTACCAAGAAAATGTAATTCAGTCTACATTATAATCGAATATAGCTAAAGTTTTCGGGGAACCAAATCTGAAAGCCTGATATTTTCTCTTTCCAGATCGATTCAGCCCGGTTGTGAATGTGAAAACTCAGAGCTTGAAACAGTTCCCTGAACCTACCTCTTCCAGAAGCCATGATGATTCCTCGTCCTCATCTAGTCTAAACGGGAAAGAAATAAAGAATTCTCGAGATGACGAGCTCTCTCCTGCGGTTGAGCGTGCAGGCTCTTCCGGCGTATCTCCGGAGTCTAGAGTCGGAAAGAATTCTTCCTGGGCTAATTCTCTGAGCTTAACTGAGTATAAAATTTACAAGACTGATGGTTTAGCTGACGCTTCGACGCAGACAGAGGACAATGTGGGTAGATCAAAAGCCCGAGAAACTTGTACTAGAGGTGTTTCAACGGATGATGGAACATTAATAGAGCCTGACTGTGGTGAGACTTATCAAAACCGGCCTCTGCGGGGAAAGGAGAACTCCGAAATTTGCAGCGATTCAGTTTCCCCTCCTCTATCCACCTCTAGTGCCTCGTCATCTGGTGGGAAGACTGAAACTTTAGAATCCCTGATCAGGGCTGATGCTGGTAAGATCAATAGTTTTAGAATTCTAGAAGAGGAGGATATTCGAATGCCTAACCACGCAAGACTTAAGGCCACAAATGTTTTGATGCAACTTATATCATGTGGTTCGATATCGGTTAAGGATCATAGCTTTGGTCTAATTCCAACCTACAAGCCCAGGTTTTCCCATTCAAAGTTTCCATCCCCGTTATTCTCTACTTCGATGATAATGGGGGAACTTGACTGCCTATCTGAAAATCCAAAGTTAATGGGTTTGAGATTGGAAGATAAAGAATACTTCAGTGGGAGCTTAATTGAGACTAAACTACTTAAAGAAGATGGACATACAACTCTAAAGCGTTCATCGTCCTATAATGCAGACAGGTCAGCTTTATTCCTTGATATTTTATTTTAAGATTCGTTGGATTCTTTTTGTTTGCCTTTCAAACTTTATTGGCACTCCAAATATGAATTAATGACGCTTGTTTGGACGTTGTCGGTAGAGTTGGTGATTAGTAAAAATATTATGCTGTATTAGATGAGACTAAGAAAACACTTGTCCCAATTAATGTTATAGATGCCTATTTTAGAAGCTTCCTGCATGATTAAAATGCGGGATGGTATTACCAGAGTTGAACATGGTGCATCTTTCATAGTAAACATTCTCTCCGTCCGGGCCTTCTGATGGTTTGAACTTGTGTCCCAACTCCCAACAGTTCGGGGTTGGGTCTTCGCAAGTTTCTTTTTGCTTGATGACTACCAAGCGTGTGCTAAAAATGAAGCTTTGATGCATTGCTTACCGAGCCTTGTTTGATGGAAGCAATGACCAGTTTGTTAAAAGCTTGTCAACAGCCAAGTTGAAGTGGTTTAAACAGATTTAAGATAAGAAGTGGCACAGCTCTTAGAAACTTATAGTAAAGGAAAATTTGAAGTTTTCATGATTTACTTGCATATGCTGAAGTTAACTGGCCCCCCTACTACCTTAAATGTCCAAAATTTACGGCTGCAGATCAGTACTAATAATGCACTCTATTCTTGATTATGATTCATATGCTACGTACACGATGACCTTGCAGGACTTGTAAACAGCTGGATCCGATTGAGGACAACGAAGAGTCCACGTCCGGGCGTTCAAAATGCATCCCAAGATCAATCACGGCTTCATTAATGAAGCAACCGCGGAGTGAATCTATGAGATCCCCTGCTTCTGATAGGCCAAGAAACTCCTCTGATGGAGTTGATGGCTCAAGGACCATCACTCCAAGTGTATCGAATGGTGCTAGTAAAAGAATCACGGAGCCTTTCTCAGCTAAAAATGAATCAAAGAGACTAGATTCCTTTAGAGAGGAGAAGGTGATCAAAATTGAAGAAAGTTGAGTATCGACTCCTCACTTTCACATTCATGCTCAAAACTATCTGGGCATTTCCAATTTTTATTGTCCACAATAAATGACATTACATTAATTTTCTCCAACAGGCTTGCTTCAGGAGCTAGGGTTATAATCCAGTCCAAAGCACCTTGCCACACGGCTGCAGTTGGTATCTCATAGAAACCTTTCTGAAGATACCAAGTTACGGGTAAACCATTTAAGACACTCTCTGTGCAACTAGGTTTCCATGTTTGAATTTCAAATGATGGAAAAATTTTGTGGGCGGCGTACGTGTAATGATTTTTTGTAAATCTGGCAACTAAAAAAAGAACATTGCAAATCTCTTATTTGCAAAAGTGGGTTGATGCCTTGATGGGTTAATGTGGTCCTCGTGGTGGACCAATTCCTGGTTCTGAGATAAGGACTTGGCCTTTTGGGTTGGTTTTTCAACGGGGATTGTACTTTTTCTCTAGCTACAGTTAAAAGATCTATCTTTTTTCTTTCCCTCTAAATTTACTTTTTTTCACCTCTGGAAATCTTTTTCTCCACAACAGCTCTTGAAACTGTGAGATAGTTATTGGCTAATAGCCAAAGATTCTTTATTCAAATTTTTTATGTTTGTCTTGTCCCGGAGAAGTTCAGCATTCTCATAGGATTCCCATTGAACCATGTTGTAAATTTAATTGCAGGCTCAGGAGACTTTTTTTATTCCCGCAATTTTGACTCTTGATTCAAAAAGTAGTGTTTTGACTCTCAATTAGCAAAGCAAAAAGCTGCTTTTTTAAAAGGTCAAAGTAACCTCCTCGGTTATTGTATACAAATACAACTCAGTGAGTGGAGATTCAGGTTCCGTTTATTTCGCTGATTCGAGTTTAGAATTTGAGTTTTTCTACAGTAAAAAAGCTCTCACAAACAATTACATCTAATTTTTTTATACAGTAAAAAATTTTCACATAAAGTCACATCTCAACTCGAATTAAAAACTCGAATCAACGAACTAAACGGGTCTTCTATTTATTGCCTGTTTCTTTCTTTGATGAAAACCTTGCTTGTCATATGTATAATATACATATGATATGATACAGAAAAAACAGATGTCCTTCTCGCTTTGCATGTTTTATAAGCCGATGAAAAATTAGCCCCCAATCGCTTTAATTTATCTTTGCTTTGCTTGGTTCTGATTATTTTATAACTTTGTCAAACTAGATCTTCGTTTAATGGGGCATGGCTTGCCAAAAAGTTCTCGTCACGTGTAAGACATCTTTAATGTGGTGCTCGGATTTTAGGCTTTTTGGAAGTTTTATAGAGAGAGAGAGAGAGGGAAGGCGGGGGTTGGTGGGGGGAATAAATTGAGCTGTTTGAAAGCTTTTTTTCCTCTGGAGTAGTGCTACTATTTTTTCTTTCCCCTTTTTTGCTTTTGTTTGGGCAAACTAGTCCTTGAAGGCAGAGAAATTACTTGCTTGCTCATAGTTATTTGCACAAGACCTCTTATTCTATGTATTTTTCTTCTTTTGGTGAATAAAAAAAGAGCACAAGACTTAAGGCTTAATTTAGTATTGTTGTAGATTTTGAAAAAATTATTTTTAGTTGTGCTAAAAGAAAAGGAAGTTAGTACAAAAAATAGTTAGGTGTATGGTAAACTATAATTATAGTAGTTTTGTTGGTTTCAAAATTAATATAATAGCGTTTAATAAATTATGAGGTTGATTTACTCTGAATAGTTAAAAATTACGACTGTATTATATTATTCTGTAATATAATATATATTTAATATAATAAAAAATTATTATTATATAATTATGATATAGAATATAATAATATTATTAAAATAATAACAAAATAATTAAAAATTATGATTATATTATATTTTATTATACTACAATATAATATATACAATTATATTATAATGTATATTTATTATTATATTTAATATAATACAATAAAACTATTATTAAATAACATATTATATAATAATGATATAGAACATAATAATATTATTAAAATGGTTAATATAATTACAATATTATAACACATATTATAATATTACATAAGAAATAATAATATTTCAGTTATAATATAATTAAAAATTACAACTATATTATATTATAATATACAATCATTATTATATTATATTAAACAAATATATTATAATTAATATATTATATAATTATAATACGCCATAATAAATAATAATATTAGAATTATGAGATTATATTAATATTTTATTATATTATTATTAATATACTAAATATAATTATATCAATACAATATAATATATAATATTATTATAAAATAATTATTATAATATCATACTATTAAAATAATTATAATATTTTATTATATGATAAAATAATAATATTAGAGTTATTAATATAATTATGATATTATTTGTTATAATATTACTATTACATTATATTATATTATTGTATTATTATATTATATTATATTATGAGTATGAATTTTAGATTTGAAAGATTGTAAATTTTAAATTTTATTAGGGGTATTATGGGTATTATGAAAGTTTCATTAATTGTACTATAATGATTCCCGCACAATCTAAAAGCTAAAGTTGCTTTTGGGCTGCTTCTGATTTTAGCTGTAGATTCTTCAAAAAGCATTTTTGATGAGATTTGTCAAACACTAAAATCAACTTTTGCTACAAGCAAAAGCTGATTTTGAGAGTGAAAAGTAATACCAAACGCAACCTTAATGTTTGGTTGGAGGAAGAGATGGAGGGATTGAAAGGGGTGGAGGGAGAGAGGTGGATGGAGAGAGCAAATCATGTGTTTAGTTAGAGGAAAGACAGGAAGGAAGGGAGAGATGGAAGGAGAGCGCATCCTCTTAGGCCCACAAAATTGGATTCTTCCATTTATAGGAGTATTCATAAAATTCATCAACTTTTACATGTAAAAGACTATTTTACTTGTAAAAGACTATTTTACTCTCGAAATAAACTATTAATAAATAATTTAAATGAACAATATAATAGTTTTACAAATATCTATCGTCCATTTTTTTTACTCTATTTCTATCATACCAAACAACAAATAACATGAAGAATTACTATAATACTCTTTTTTTTTTCTACTCTCTATCTCTCTAACTTTCTCTATCATTCTAACTAAACGGACCTAGAGTTCACTCAAAGGTAAATAAAGGAGTAGAAGAAAGAGAGTTGAAACAAAGCGAGTACCTATACGTAAAGGTGTTTTGAGCGCCTTATCATTTTTGTGGTCCAACTCCTAAGTCCTACACATGTAATGAATACTGATGGCGATGCGTATCCTTCGTTTGTCTTATCACCTTCAACTTCAAGTTCAAGTCGAGCGGCTTTGCGTTTGGCCATGTCCGTTATGGTCCGTCACTGTCTATTGTTGTCAAACATGTGCACAACTTGGTGCTGGATCTCTATCTTTTGGAGGGACTAGGGAGGATAATTATATAATTTGATTAGCAAAAAGAATAAAATAAAATAAAAGTAATACACGATGCATAAGGCCTCTCTCTCTATTTTTTTTTTCATAAAGAGACTGCACTCTTCTTTTGTGAATGTGATTTAGATTCAAATTGTTTGTTCACCTCCTTTACTTTATTATTCATCACCCACATGCATATGTGGTGTCTTAAAATTTTATATAATTTAAGCATTTGAAACTCTATAAAAAAAATTTTTTTAGGCAAATTCTTTAATATGAGCAGCACACATTTGCTGATTTCCTTCTTATAACTCGTCAGTTTTCTAATCAACATTACATGACGAGTTTGGACACGGTCAAAGTATTTTACTTATTACATTATTTGCCAAATGGACAGGATTCATGGGAATGAGCGGACTTTTCTGCATTCCAAAGAAATTACCATTTTTTTTTTCACTTTCACAGATAAAATAATACAGCCAAAAACCTAACTGTGACCAAGTCAAATCTTTAATTTTTTTAGTTATTAAATATCAAATTGGACCCACTAGGTCGCTTTATTTAGTCAGTATTTGGTATGAGAATTCATACCATAGTTTGAATTATGATTCGTGGTTCGCTACAGTATTTTCTCTCATAAAAAATATACGTAAATTGAGAATAGTTCTGAATTTGTGAACCAAACGTCCACTTAAGACACCCGGTATGTTTGGAAACACTGCTTCCCTATCCTATAGTGCACATCTCCATTATAAAAATACAGACACCAATTGTATGGTATTTCAGCAACTTAAAATATTCTTGTGATCTACAGCAGTATATGTTCTCTTCTGCACACAAAAAAATGTCTATTATATAGACACACAAACGTATATATGCCTCAGCTACACAAATATATTTGTCCCTGCCTTCCAAACTTAACTAACTTCCAGCAAAATTTAGATTGTCGCCTTCTTTTCATCCAACAACTAGCAAGCTAATATGCCTGTCGTGAGTTCTGTCTCTCACATGCTTGTTTGTCAGGGATGAGCGTCGGCCTTTCCAGTGTTTATTTCATTTTTTGGGTGTTTTTTGTTTTACCCTTTGTGTTCTCCTCTTAGCTTCTGTCTTTTATGCATAGTCCTTTCACTCTTCTGATTGTTAATAATAATAATAATAATAATAATTATTATTATTATTATTATTTTCTAGAATGCATTGGTCTTGGCATGTTAGTTAACAAAAGGCACCCTGTTACGACACATCATTGCCTTGGTTGTTTCAAGAAGAGAGAGAGAAGAAAAAGAATGTTTAAGCATGCCTATGCAATTAAATACTTATGCTTTGTTTGGTATGAGGGTTTAAATTATGATAATTCTAGTTTTAATTTTAAAATCAGAATCAAGATTTATGATTTTGAGTTCAAATTATGGTTTAGAAAAAAAATCAGAAGTTTGAACCATCCAAAATCAATAGGGAGGTAGTTTTAGAATCAATAGTGATTCTAGTTTCAAACATCACATGAGGGTTCAAATTTTGAATCAAAACAATCCAAACTAAACACTAATTCTGAGTGAATAAAATCAGAATCACTTTTTACTTTTTGTAAACAAATACTGATTTAAACCAGAATTATGATTCTAAGCTCTGGAACTCTTATACCAAACCTGCTCTTAATTGTTGGCCGTGGTTGAAACTTGTATGCCTATTTACATGCGTGACCTGTTGTCTAAGTATGCAATAAAAGGGATTAAGATAACACTTTATTACTTAATGCTATTTTAATTTAGAAATTGCCTTAAATTTCCTGGCCAGTCGAGCCTGTGTAATTTTTTTTTTTCATGTTCAGTGTAATATTATTCATAAATGTGAATAACACTCAATTTATTTTAATGTAACATTTAATAAATATAGTCTAACACATGTAATATGAGTGTTACACAATTATAAAAAGTTACACATACGAACAAACAATCAGCGGCGGACGGAGGTGAGGCCCATGGGGAGTATATGCCTCCCTGGATTTTTGATATTTGATTTTTAGTATATGTTTTCTCAAAAAAATTGCATATATGCCCCCCTTATCAATAAAAATTTCAAATATATCCTCACAAAAT